AGTGGCGCGGGCGGCAGCGGCGGTGGCAGCACCATGCCGGCCTCGGTGGCTCACGTCCCCGCGGCAATGCTGCCGCCCAATGTCATAGACACTGATTTCATCGACGAGGAAGTGCTTATGTCCTTAGTGATAGAAATGGGTTTGGACCGCATCAAGGAGCTGCCCGAACTCTGGCTGGGCCAAAACGAGTTTGATTTTATGACGGACTTCGTGTGCAAACAGCAGCCTAGCAGAGTCAGCTGTTGACTCGATTAAACCTCGGCTGACGAGAGAAATCAACCCTCCCCTCCCCCCCCCCCCCCCCCCCTTCTTCGGTGTGAATTAAAAAAAAAAACATTCCCTTAGACGCAGTATCTCACTTTTCAGATCCTGAAAGGTTTGAGAACCTGGAAACAAAGTAAACTATAAACTTGTACAAATTGGTTAAAAAAAAATTGCTGCCACTTTTTTCCTGTTCTTGTTTCGTTTTTGTAGCCTTGACATTCACCTCCCTTATGTAGTTGAAGTATCTAGCTAACTTGGTCTTTTTTGTTGTTGTTTTTTTACTCCTTAGTTCCTCACTTTCTCCAGTGCTCAACTGTTAGATATTAATCTTGGCAAACTGCTTAATCTTGTGGATTTTGTAGATGGTTTCAAATGACTGCGCTGCATTCAGATTTATGAGTGAAAGGAAAAATTGCATTTGTTGGCTGCATGAACTTTGAAGGGCAGATATTACTGCACAAACTGCCACCTCGCTTCGTTTTTTTTAACTATGCATTTGAGTACAGACTTAAGTTTTCAAATACGCTAAACTGGAAGATTAAACAGATGTGGGCCAAACTGTTCTGGATCAGGAAGTCATACCGTTCACTTTAAAGTTGGCTGTCTCCCCTCCCCCATATGTACAGACGATAATAGGGCGTGGAATGTCGTCAGTGGCAAACATTTCACAGATTTTTATTTTGTTTCTGTCTTCAACATTTTTGACACTGTGCTAATAGTTATATTCAGTACATGAAAAGATACTACTGTGTTGAAAGCTTTTTAGGAAATTTTGACAGTATTTTTGTACAAAACATTTTTTTGAAAAAATACTTGTTAATTTATTCTATTTTAATTTGCCAATGTCAATAAAAAGTTAAGAAATAACCTGTTTTCTACAAGCCAGTCATTTGGGGGAGGGGTGGCCTTTAAGTTGGGCTTGTTACTGATTTAGAGTAAGCTTCCTAGGAGTAGGTTACAGGACCCTGAGACAGGTCACCGGGAGCTTAGGGGAGAGCAGGATTTAAGATAATTGGCGTAATGCCACATTGGCACCTTTATAACTTGCCTCTTGGTGTGGTTTAGTCACCGGCTGAAAAGTTGTCAAAGTGCTTTCTTTGCTGTCTCTTGGCTGCATCCAGTTCCAGTGAACCTTGACTGGGAAGGCTTGTTTATAATATTAAACATTATATTCTCACTGGGTGGGAGGAAGGGGAATCAAGTGTTTCTGCTTCAACTACTGAAAAGGAGGTGGAAATATACCGAGTGATTGATGGAGGTGGCATTAAATATAAATCTACCTTTACTTCTAGTGATGAATTTTATTTCTGAGCAAAAGTGCTAAGGATAGACAATCTAATCTCAAGTAGCTTCTGATTGGGTTACAGTTCTGAGAGGAAGGAGGGGTAGAACCTACCTTGAGGCTTCCTATAATATTTAAGTTTCACTCAGGTTGATTCAAAGGTCAAATTACAGCCTTCATAACATGTGCCCTCCCAAGCATGCCCCATTTTCCAGAATCCTGAGCTGCTGCTGTTCCCTGCATTAGGGATCAAGCTCTTTGGTATAACATGCCTTTTAGCAGCTTGGACGAGCCAGTCTTTAAGCAGGACCGTCCCCACATTCAGGGGATGCCAAGGGCTGTCTTACATAATCAAGCAGAGGAGAAATGGTTCAAGTGTCAAAACATCCCAGGTGGAGGGGGAAGTCACTCGATTTTGTTGCTGTTGTGTTTGCTTGCTTTTAGGGGCAGCCTAACCACAGCCAAGGGAAAAACCAAATACAGATTCATACTTAACCTATGGAGAGAGTAAGGAAAGACAGAGTGCGAAAATCCCTACAAATAAACAGAGCTTCAAAACACCAGCTCTTTGCAGTGTCAGCCTCTCATCCCAGACCCCACGCTCCGCAGGCAGAGCAGGCAGGCAGTTTGCTCCCAGTGCTGCGCTGGGATCTGCCGCCCAGGCGGAGAGCGTGGGACTCAGTTCTATTTCCAAGGAGGACAGGTAAAATTCAGATGCATACTGCACTGGTTTTTTTTTTTTTCCTGTCTCTATAGTTGACATCATCCTATTAAAAATCACGTTCTATGAAATCAGCCCAGTTTTCAAACAATCCCGTTCCTCCAATAGTTAAAGCTGAAGTTTTTCTTCAGCTAAGACATATCAGTTGTGCATCTTCAATCAGGCAGCAAATCTTCCTAGCTTGGCATTTTCACAATAAGTCCCTCTCCACCCCCCAACCCCTCCACTCCCCACCTCCTAATCCTGCTCCCCCTACCCCCGCAGACTCAAGTAAAACATATTAATACACCAGTGGTTCTTTTCCACTTGTGGGCTTGCTTTATTTATTTATTTAAATAAAGAAGAAAGCGAAGAATTGCCACGCGGTCACCCTTCCCCATTTACTCTGCCAGGGAATAAGCCCCACCACCTGCTCTGTCAGTAGATTCTCCCTGCTGCTCCAATGCCGGACACGTATGTAGAGACGCAGGGCTCAAGGGACTATTAATAGAACTTGGACCCATCCCTGCCAGAACAGAGGACTCAAACAGAGGAGCTGGCTAAAAGCACAATTTGTCCTCAGTACAAATACAAATGCGCACCCCCCCCCATCTCTATTTCATTAAAACTCTCTTGATCAACAATTGAGCAGATCCTACGTGAGATCTGCAGGTCGCTTTAGGCAGAGAAAAATAAGCCCTTGTTTAAACAACCCGATTAATGAAACCTGTACAGTGACCTAGATCACCCGGCTCCTGGCAGACATTTGCAAAAACCTTCTGTGGTCTTGCTTCCTACTAAGTTGCTTAGAGCATATGGGGAAATTTGACCTCTGTACCTTGGCTGTTAGTCAAAAAGTTCTAGTGCGGTACAAGAGGGCCTCTGTTCTTTAGGCTTCGCTCGCAAATAGACACTCCATGCTTGATTTTCAAGACAAGATGACTGATAAGTGCAAGCCCCGTTGATACCCAACAGAAAACTAGGTCTGCGTGCATATAGCCATGCGGGTCTGCGGGTGCTTGATAAAATCCTGGTGGCGGCATCTTTGCGGCTGATAAAGACATTAGAACTCCGGCGAGGTCTTTGAAGAACGGCTCCCTAATCACCACTGTTTATGGGGTGCTAGGCTGGAACACTAGTTCCAGCAGGCTGACATCTATTGTGACGTTTACGGCCTCTGTGACTTTTACTACTGTAAACGCCTGGGATGGCTATAAATTGATGTCAACATTAAAGGCCAGATCCTTTAGAGCAAAATATTAATCCACTAATCTATTATGGGTGGCTGGCTTTCAAATACAAACTTTGCTGCTCTGGATCATTAGGTGTTTTCGCCCCCTTGTGGAATTTACTCAGAAGGTTAAAGGAGCGCTTTAAAGGAGGCTGAAAAAAAAATGTTTTTTTATTGTTTGTTTGTTTTTTGGTTTTGTTTTTTTTTTGCTGTTGCTGAAGACTTCGTTCCCCCCCCCTTGAGCAAATACCCTATGTTTTTGCAACCATTTTTTTAAATCAACAAGGACTTGAGATTAAGCACTCTTTATAAAAAGAAGCATATTTTACCTGCCAAAGGCTTTAGCCTATGATTAAAGGTGCATAATTTAAGATTGGCTTCCTGTTTGGAAATATACACTGGCTAGGGGATTTTCTTTTTGGGAGCGTGAGGCTTGGAGGTTTGGATCAATGCTTTCACCTGTCGGCATGTGGGGGTGGGAAACATCTGAACCCCCACAACAGGACTACTGGTTGGTAACCCGAGTGTGGAGGAGACCGACTGCATTTGATGGGGCGAGGTCAGAGGAGTGGTGGGAAATATTCAGGAATGCAGAATGCAATTATCCATGTTGGAATGTGACCTAGCCAGTGGCTCTAATCTGGGGGGGTGGGGGAAGCCATAGGATCTCTAATGAGAATAAATGTTCCTGTCTAATTGAGTCAGGAAAAATTCACTTTAATATAAACCTGAAGATAACATTGAGCCCCCAAAAAATAAATTTAGAACTTGAAGAATGTAGACTCTAAGCCACTGGCAATTATTTTTTCCTGTCTTGGTTTGTTTTGCTTGCATAAAGGGACTGTTTCCTGTAGCTTCAGAGATAGTGTTTGCTTGCTCAGTTTTATACCGCTATCGTTAAAATCTGAGCTCCCAGACAGGCTGAGGTGAACCTCAGCAAGAGAACACTACACAGCACATCAAAGGCCTTAGCCAGAGAACCCCTATTAGCTTGTGTTCTGTTGGTCACCCCTCCCCCAAACAGAAGGAACAATAGCAGTCTCTGAATTTTAATCGCAATGGACTGGCTTAAATTACTTGACCTATTTTTATGCAGCAAAGAGAGAATTGATTCCCTCCTCCCCTTTTTGAAGCCAATGGCCACTTATTGGAAAAAAGGAAATATAAGGACATTTTCTATCAAGTTGTGAGCTGCTGGTCAATACTTTAATTTGCTTTATAGTGAGATCCACCTGTGTTTTTGAAAAGTATTAGGATATCAGACAGACACTCCCCTTCACAGGATGGAATTAAATTAATGAGCAATGTTAAATAATGAACTTTAGATAGTTTAAGCGCCACAGGTTTGAATTTCTATCACGTTAGGTTGCTTATAGGTGCAGTATATGCTAAGAAAATGAGGGGGCTGCTTTATGAGGGATTGCGTAGATCTTGGGAAGGAGGTAATCCCAGGCCACCTCCCTTCCACACTTTCTATAAATAAACAATGCCTTTTTAGACCATTATCAGTTACTTTTGGTAACCTATCAGTTACTTTCACCCCCAAGATAAGCGCAAATGTTCAAAGCCACCATGAAATGGCAGAAGCAGCCCAGGTGACACAGTTGGTACTTCCTGAGAATTCCGCTTGACTAACCCAGGGCTGGTGGGTGCTCTCTGGCAGATCAAAGATGAATGAAGGGTTCTACTAGTCTTTAATGTACTGTTGGTTTAGGCTGAACTAATCCCAACGATTAGTGGGGCAGCTGCCCACCAACGGGGTGAGGGTTGAACCGGTGGTTCACAGGCTTCTTGGAATTTCCCCCTAGGGCACCCCTATTGCACCCATCCCTAAAATCCTTCCCTTTCTCCTTTATTATAGAGGAGTCACATGATTGCAACTGGGGGTTGCAGAGTTTGTATCCTAGGGAGCCTGTAGCCAGGGACTGTTAGCTGGTGCCACCGCGGGGAGAGAGGCACAGAGGTTGAGTTAACGGGGCTGAAAGAACCCTTCCAGCCCATTCCTCAAAGCAGGAGAAAAAAAAAACAAAATTTAGGCTGAGGGGAAACTCAAACTAGCATATAATAATAACAATAACAATAACAACAATAATAATAAAAGCTAGCTACTAGTTGTAGATAAACTCACGGAGAGTGAGGGAAGTGTCGTTCACGGTTACTTAAGCCTCCTCTCATCATGTCTCCCTATGGACTGACATAAAATTTGGCCTCGCGATTTCCTTAAGTTAGTTGGCCCCAAAGATCATCATCATAATATTGCTACTGCTTGAAACTCACTGTTTGGGACTTAGTCCCCTCCATAATACTGAGCATACTCACACTGGCAAACTCAAAGGTTTAAGTTGGAAAGCCAGATCCTCAGGCCGCCTGGTGTGCAGTGCCCAGCTGCATTTATTCAAAACTCTCTGAAGAAGATTGAGCAAGGTGTCCCTTGCATGCTTCTCCCTTCATGGGGGGATGTGTTGAGTTGATGATATGTGGCCACGTGACCGCATTGCCTCTCGAGTTCCTATAAGAAACATCCCCGGTGTTCTGAGATCCCCAATGAACGGCCGTTCTTGGAACAACGATTCCCACCGGAGTGGAGCCACCCCTCTAAGAGGTAAATCGTGAAGGGGGGGAAAAAATCCACATGCTTTATGAAAAATATGTAG